TAAAGATTTCGGTAATGTTTGAAAATCATTTAGTCGAGTGGTTTCAAATTAAGTTTATGGTTTAAATATGATAGAGATTGCATCAGAAAAAAAAAATACATCAGCTTTATGAAAAAATAATGTATGTGTTAAGGTTGCTCTTAAAACCACAAAAATTTAAACAATTCTAAGGGGGGAAATTGTTAATAACTTACTGAGTGAAAATCAGTAGTATCATGATTAGCCGAAATTGAACATCATTTTCATAATATATTTGAGGGATTTAGTTTCAAGATTAATCCAAATCTTCTGATGCAACAAATCAAAATCTGCAATCTTATACTACATATACAGAATGTATATGCAACACTACTAAATTTTAGCTCCTCTCTATCCAATTTTTCAAAATATACCCCCACTTTTCTTACTAAGAAGCACTCTTCAAAATCCCTGTGTTTAAAGAAATTATAATTCTAAGAATTGATTTCTAGGTATTTACTGTCTCTTCTTACTCCTTTTCTTTAGTGATGCTATATCTGCTGATGCATCCACTTCCACCTTTTCATGTTTATTTCCTTTCTTTGAAAATTCTTTATTTCTTTTTCTTTTACTTCTTTGCTTTAATAATCCTTTTTCTTCTAGCATTTTCAGTTTCTGTTTTTTCCTCTCTTTTGCTTTCTCTTCAAACCCATCATCTATCATCTTCATTTTTGCAACATTTTTAGCACTGAAAACCTACAATGCATCAAAGCAGACAAGTCATTAGGAAATTCAAATAATTTTAAATAAACCTATAATATTAACAATCCATAATCAAGAAGGGACAATAATTCATACGCATGATGAACAAGCTACACCTATAAAAACATACCTTTTTCATGAGAGAAAGCACCTCATTTTCTTTGTATTCAACCATATCAAGTTGCCTTTTCATAAGGGCCTCTATTTCACGGATGAGATCAACATCATTCTGCAAATGTCAAATTTATTTATGACAAAAGGAAATCAGTGCAAAATAAATATCAGAATCCTATAATGATCTCATTTAATATATGAAACACCTTCGTCATAATTATACTTCAAAAAACTATCAAATACCATACAACATACCAAGTATTATACAAGTAGCAGTAACAGGATGTGTAGGACCAAATTGATTCACAATACAAATAGCATATAAAATTGAAAAGCAAAAGCACTTCGATGAATTTTTTGGATCAATATTTCTAAGATGAGAAGTGACTTTAAAACCAACATCAGTATCCGTGCTACAACTAGTGTCAGATTTCAAATCACATTACAAGAAGTTTCTAAAGGACTCATCATACAAACTTGTTTCCAGAAAATTCCTAAACAATTGAATATAAACTTGAGATCCATAAAATACCCAGAAAAATAAAATAATACCCATAAAAACAAATCATCAAAAAGAAAACATGGCATTCACGGCGTCATTTCACCCCCAACATCATTTGACCCCCAATGTTTAAGATACAGATCTTTCAGATGTAGCAGCCAGTCAACATAAGAATTACAAGAATAAAGAAATCAATGCATGAAAACTCAATTTCAAACCATAGAAAGAGATCTTTAAGGTTCATTTTAATTTGAGAAAATGTTCTGTTTTCACCAGGGTTATAGCTTCAGTGTTATCTGCACAAACCCTTGAAAATAGGAAACAGACTGACAATATGTGAAAGTTTTGTAAATCCTGTAAAAGTGAAAACAAATTAAAAAGCTAAAATGTTTCCTCTTACACCTAAAATAAAATGTGTTTACCTGGGTGACAAGGCTCAAAGCAAGTCCCCCTCTACCTGCTCTTGCAGTACGACCAACACGGTGGATATAATCCCGTGGAATCCTGCAGGTGAATAACTAAAATGTTTCATCAAATGCCTCGAAGACGAACAAATAAAATAGCAAAGTTTGAAAAAGAGTAACCTTGGAACATCATAATTAATAACAAGGTCAACTGTAGGAATATCCAAACCGCGGCCAGCAACATCAGTTGCTAGTAATATAGGAACCTTTCCTGATTTAAATTCATGAAGTGCTTCAAGCCTCTGAGCCTGTGATCTGAATGAATACAGAGCTGCAGCTTCTTGATCAAGCACTTCCAGCATTAAATTTAAGCGATGACAATCTCTGCAATTTGAGAACTGTTAAGCGTATCTACAAGATAAATAATACACACATTATTGCTTAGAATAATATGTTAGTTTAGAGATAACTGTCATTAACACTTCCACTACTAAACCTCAACTTGCACCCCTCAAATGTAAGCAAGCATGACTCAGAACAACTATACTCCTATCCTATTTGTACTTACTTTTCCCAATGTGCAAGAATAAAAGCTAAGTTATTGATGGCAAGGAAAAGAATAAAAAAGCACAAAATGTCTAAAATTGCCTTAGGATACAAGTAAATGATCCTAATTACATTTATTTTGGCTTAACAATTTCATTTTACCTATTGAGAATATGATTCTATGATTGTCTTAGGATACAAGTAAATGAAACACGTCTTTATATTAGCTACAAAATTGATAGTAGGTAGAGTTATTTAATCAATGTAAGATCTGAAAGTGGCAACATGGCCCCAAAAATAGGAGTTATGAACCATATAGAAGAAAAATGAGCAGTGTACCATTATACAGACAACAAAAAATGGATATGGAAAATTAAAAAAATAAAAATAAAAATCATCATCTAGAGAGATACCTGCAAGTGGAGACAAAGACAATGGCAGACCGAACTCCCATATCTTTCATTTTAGACAAGATATGCAACAAATATACATCCTTCACCTTTTTAGGGATGAATACAGCTTGTTGAGTAAGCTTTTCAACTGTCTTAAACCCTTCATAAGCCTCGAAGGCATACAACTTATCTTGATAGCGCTCGCGCAACTTTTGCAAATTACTAGTTGTGGTTGCAGAAAAGAATAGGTTTTGCCGGCTTTCTGGTAAACACTGAAAGATAAATTTCAATTCGTCCTGAAACCCAACATCCAGAACTCGATCTGCTTCATCCAAGACAAGAAACTACAAAAGCAAGTGTCAATTTGAGCATAATCATAGCAATGCTATATCTATTTATAATGTTCTAAAACAAAGAAATGCATGATTAAACATTCATAATATGTAATCATGCAAGTAATGCATCCAATTTTGATTACTAAAACATGTGAAAGAGATTCTAATTATGGCAAGCTTTTGTACTCCGTCAATTAAATTTCTTATACAAAATCTGCCTAAAATCAACAGCATTAGCACATAAAAACAAAAGCAGCAACACAAACAAAATAAGGAACCAAACTATTCACCAAATTCATCATGATCATTACCTTAGTCCTGGAGAAAACGGGAGCGATTTCAGGATTATCCTTGAGCAAAACATTGATCCTTCCAGGAGTAGCGATAACAAGGTGGGGCCTGGCGACCAACTCTTTAGTCTGTCTAAGCATATCCATACCACCGACAATCAAGGCAATACGGAGGCGAAGTGAGGAACCAAGGGCACGAAACTGCTCCGCCAGCTGAAATGCAAGCTCGCGAGTGGGTGTAACCACGAGGGCAAACACCCCAAACGGATGCTCAGCTAGACGCTGGAGTATAGGAAGCGCAAACGCCGCTGTTTTACCACTACCAGTCTCGTCAATTCCAATTACATGACGGCCTTCTAGAATCTTCGGGATGCAGTACTGCTGCACGCGGCGTGGCGTTAACATTCTGAGTTCCTTACAAGTCTTCACCGCCCATTCTGAGAGTCCGAGCTTAGAGAACGTGGCAGTGTTTTCAGTGATGGAGTTAGGGTTTTCATGGGTAACGACATTGTGTTGAGGGATAATAGTAGCAGCGGGTGTAGGGTTTATGGAGGGTTTGAGAGATGGTTTGAAGAGTGGGAAGTTTTCGTCTACTTCGTGTTGTGATTTCTCCATTGTGTTAAGAATTTATTGGGTCTGTCAAGATGGGAAAGTTGCCACTATCAATATGAAGAACATTATGTCAAGTTAAAAACACCAGTTATAAGAGTTTCAAGTATTGCAATAACATTCAAGTAAAAAACACTTGTATCATGCATCATCAAAATTAATTTCACAAGACCTAATCAAAATTATTAATAGAGCACTTGTTATCTAACACTAACAATATAAACCACTTCAATAAATAAATAAAAAGTAATTATGAAGTCGGTTGAATTTTTAGTGTGTAAACTTGTACGCAACCAAACAATATCTAATTTAACATTTAGTGTCTATCATATAACAGGATAGATCTTTATATGCTACAAAACCCATTTCATCTCAAGATATATGCTACGAATAAGGCAAGTAAAACAATGAAAAATCTAGTCTGTAAAACATTACCTGGACAGTAGAAGCTGAAATCTACATCATACAACAATAGCAACCAAGTCCTATCCCACTAAGTGGAATCGACTACATGGATCAACTTTCGCCATAATGTTCTATTTAGAACCATGCTTTTATTCAATTAAATTGTTAATCTCAAGATCTTTCTTAATAACTTCCCTTATAATCTAAGTCTTCATTTTCCTCTAGTTGCTTGACTTTTCTCTATTTGATCTACTCTCCTTACCACAAAATCTACGGATCTTCGCTACATGTCCAAACCCCCCAAATCTATTTTTCACCATCTTCACTACTACAGATGCTACCCTAACACTGTCTAATATTTTCATTTCTAATCCTATCCTATCTAGTTTTATCACACATCCAACACAACATCCTCGTCTATGCTACACTCGTGGAAAAATGTAATATCTATATTCTAAGTAAAATACAAAACTAGATTAAATAACGCAAATAAATACCCAAATTGACATACATTAAACAGCATAGGATTCAAAGCAAGATTGAAGATTATCACACACTTCAAAATACTGTCCTCTGCATTAGATAAAAACTATATTGATAGCAGTAGAAAAATACCTTATCTGGTAAGGCAACTTTGCGGTTCAGTATTTTATTTTGAAGTGTATTGTTTATTCCTATTATCACTACCAATTCCAGCTTGTGCACCTGTGCAAAACAAACACCGAAAAAACAACACATTAAGTTACTATCACAACGCGCAAACTGCGGATAACAACACCGAGCATAATCTGCCAAACACCAAAAGTTACCTCTTGTTTGAAGGATAATAGCACACTATCTGATTAATCTTGCTTTGAGAAAACCTTGACGGTAAAACCTGCAAAAATATCTCCACAGCAAGCAAGATTAGGGGCTTCGATTTGATGTACTGATGTTGTGTGCGGAGGCGAAACGAGGACGAGAAGCAAAGTTGCCGAAATGACGGCGGCGAAAAATTGATAAGAGAGAAAGGGTTTTGCGGTGTCTTGGAACGGAGAGAGAGGGGTTTAGTTTTGCCTTTTTCTGTAAAATAAAATGAAAGTGACATTCACTAAAACACTAATCGCTCAAACACAATTGATTAATTTATTTTCTTAAGCTTTTTTTATTTTATTTTTAACAAATAAATAAGTGGAATTTTTTTATAAAAACAATAATGTTATATTTAGTTGAGATTCTTTTAAAATTTTAACTGAAAAACATTTAAATATATAAAATTATAAATTATTTTAAAATAAAAAATTTCATAAACAAAACTCAAACAAAAATTATAGATATACATGTAACATGATAAATGAGGAGTACAAAACTATGTTGGTCATCCCTATGTTTAATGTATAATCATGTTCCTGATATATTTTCAATTTATTTGTATATTTATTTTAAGTATATTTTCAATTTATTTGTATATTTATTTTAAAAATATGATACAGAGAAATTAGAGATAACAATGGGCAGAGTTTGTATAAGATACTATAGTATCCGTTCTAAACCTACGATTTAAAAAAATCTACGTATTTGAGCTCATACTCACGTGGACACCAACATTTATATCTGTATACGTACTCGTACCTTATGAGTATTTAAGTACTCATCATACCCATAACTGCTTATCTGCATTGCTAATAAAAAAAATTGATCAATTATAATTTATCATGTTATTTTAATTTTTGAATGATTTTAAAAAAAAATTGAGAATGTTATTGTTAAGTTAAGAAATAAACAAACATTTATATTAAAATACATAGAAGTTTAATAGTGATGTATTTAATAAAATTGTTAGAATAACATATGTTCATAATAATGAAAATAAAAACATATAAATATATATCATGTGGGTATTGTTAAATGTAATTCATAGTGTGTCGAAGTCGAAGTCTAAGTCAAGTGTCGAAGTGTCGAAGTGTCGAAACTTTCAGTGTGTCGAAACAGTTTGTTTTGATGAGATTTGATATGATTTAAATTAGATTTGATTTTGAATATTTTGGGCCTTTTATGTTTTTGGCTTTTGTAAACCTAAAACTATAAATAGGTGCATTGCTTTGTAATAAAAAATAGAACATATTTCACAGTTGCAGAGTTTAGCAAGTGAAATTTCAATAGTAATCAGAAATCCCACAGTTTGTGGGTAACACAATTTTCTCCAAATATTTCTTCTCTCATTCTTCTCTTTCTTGCTGTTTGATTGATATTCTTCTTCTCTTTTGTTGTTCTTGATAACTCTTTACTTGTTATCACCATTACTATCATATTGTGGGTTTGTTCATCAATCTTGAGATCAAGATTGAAGGGAATTTTTCATAGGGTGTGAGGTGAATTTCCAACATCTGGTATCTAAAACTCTGATTGAGAGATTCAAGGAAGGAAGATAGTAATGGCGATGAACTATCCGAACGACAATTTTTCGGCGACCCTGTCAATTCTCAAGAAAGACAATTATGAGAATTGGTGCAAGCAGGTTAAGGTGATTTTCTGTTATCAAGATCTTTGGGATCTTGTGAAGGACGGAGTAACATCGCTTGGGGAGAACGCAACGGAGGCGGAAAAGGCTGCGCACAAAGAATTGAAGAAGAAGGATTATAAAACACTCTTTATAATTCATCAGTGTGTTGATCCTGATAACTTTGAAAAGGTTAGTAATGTTGATTCAGTAAAAGGAGCATGGGAGATTCTTGAAAAGTCGTTTGGAGGCGCAAAGAAGGTGAAAGAGGTGAGGTTACAAACTCACAAGAGAACCTATGAGTTGCTTCAGATGGAAGACAACGAAAGCATTACAGATTTCTTCACCGGAGTTACAAAGTTGGTGAATCAAATCAAAGTATGTGGAGAAGCGCTGACGACGAAAGCAGTTGTCTCAAAGATTTTGAGATCATTGGCTCCAAAATTCGACCATGTGGTAGTTGCCATAGAAGAGTCGAAAGACCTGTCAGTGTTGATGAAGGAAGAACTTCAAGGGACTCTTAAGTCTCATGAACAGAGGATGGCTGAGAGAGCTGCAGGAAATTCGAAAGATGTGTCTTTGCAGACGCATTCAGAAAAGGAAAGAAACGGAAAAGGTAGTTGGAATGGCAACAAAGGAGGAAACCAGTCGAATCAGAAGAAACATTGGAACCAAGGCAACCAAAGAGGTGGTGTTGCAGGTAAAGGAAGAGGTGGTGGTCGAAAGACAGACAAAAGCCACATTCAATGTTTCAATTGCCAGAAGTATGGTCATTATGTTAGTGATTGTCCAGAAAGGAAGAGAAATCAAGAGACTGATGCAAAGCTGGTGAAACATGAAGAAGAAGAAACGTTGCTAATGGTCACTGTAACACCCCCTTCTACACCCCAAATAAATGCATATAAAACAATTAAGCACATACAAATTATCAGAGTAAAAAGGTTTTATAATAAGGTATAAAAGAAGAATGCCACAATTTCACCAACGAAACTCTTTAACATTTTGCTCCATAAAATATGTAACAATTTCGTAGTTTTAGAATTCACATTTCAACATTCAACTTGAGCGGAAAATAACATCATTTGATCAGTTCCAAAATATTAATTCAAATGCACATAAGTCATCCAGATTAATGCATCATATCAGTTAGATTACAAAACCACATCAGCTGATACATCGCAATGTATCACAAAAGAATGACTATACTAGTCTAACTACCCGGTGTTACATATCAGAGCAGCCGACTCAAAAGAATGAAGACTAACTTCACAAAAGGACTCCAGCATCCTAATCTGCAATGCCTCATAGAGCATTATAAAACAGCAGAAGGGTGAGAAATATAACCATAATAATCAAAGCATAAGATTATATATATATAGGTAGTCATATAACACATATTCACATTTCTCACCATACTTCATTCTCTTAGTCATATATATTTACCACACATATATAGACAAACCTGGATATTCACAAAGCATTTCCACATTATGCATACACTTACAATTTCCACAATCTCATCATTCACACATAAGCATCTCTTCATGCATATGTCATATATCAATGTGACTCAATAACTCAATGCAACTCATGCAATGCGGTACCGACTCTCGTTATCTTTTTTCGGTTTTTACATTAAACCGGGTCCACTCTTCTAGACCGATAACCCGTTATCTTTTTCGGTTTTTACATTAAACCGGGTCCACTCTTCTAGACCGATAACCACAAAGGCCCGTCCTCTAAGCCTTCAAACCCACTCTTCTAGGTTTGGGACAAGCCACTAGTTTCCACGAAACTAACAGACATTGCCTCTTGACTAAATGATGCATGTACAATCAACCACAACAGATGCACTTAAGACCGACATCTTAATCTCATGCATTTACATAATTCATCTCTTCAAGAATTATACAATGATTGCACATACAGCATATATCACAACAATCAAGGTATTCACATCACAATACCAATCATACAATTACAAGTGATGCACACATATTCACAATGTTCTCATGCATACTCATCACATAATTGTATACACATCAAGCATTCACAAGTTCATTAAATAATACACACATAATCACCTATTATGTTCACATGTATTTATACTTGATGCAATTAACATTCAAATCACAATTCTAGGATTCACGCCCGTAGGCTACCCACAACACACATCATCACAATAGATCATATCTATATCATACCCTAGAGGTATTGACCTCTGAGAGGCAACCAAACCATCTCCACATGAACAACACAGCAAAGGAAAAATGCTGTCACATTCGCCTCCATTCGCCTGGCGAACCCTCGCAGCGAACCTTCGCCTGGCCTTCGCCTGGCGAACTCTCTCAGCGAACACTCGCTAGGCTTCGCCTGGCGAGACTTCCCAGCGAGCCCAAGTCAGTAGCTACTGACTTCATTCGCCACCATTCGCCAGCACCTTCGCTGGGCGAACCCTCGCTACTCAACTTCGCCTGGCGAACCCACCAGCGAAGTCCACTGGGACTTAAATATAATTATTCGCCAACATTCGCTAGGCTTCGCCTGGCGAAGCTTCGCCTTCGCTCGCCTGGCGAGAGCCAGCGAACCTGCGCAGAACAGAACCCTATTCTGTTCCACCTCCACCATCCACCATCATCCAACTTCTCACACAACAAAATCAGTACAAACAGCATCAACACATGTTACCCAACTATTCTACGGCATTATTGCTCAGTTTCAACCGATTAAATCATCAATCTACCGATTATTCCAACTTTTGCCCTAATTGGAAAGTGATGAAAACTCTACCAAACCCCAACCCAACATACATAACATCATACAATGATCAAATAGAAACATTTCTCACCCTTACCTCGATTAATCGGAGCTTTGATGTTGGTTCTTGATGATTTCCACTTTTCCTCTTCTTCTCTTCTCTTTCTCTCCTTTCTTCTTCTTTCCTCTTTCTTTCCAAATGTTTTCTATCTTTCTTTTCTTTTCTTTCTCTCTTATATATTTCCTTCATTTTCCTTCCTCTCCAATTCCTTCTTAATTCTCTATTAATCCCAATTAATAAAAATTAATTTCCAACATTGATAAAATCCCACTAAATAAATTAATTACTACAATTAATTATTTAATGAAATTTGGGCTGTTACAACTCTCCCCCACTTTAGGAATTTTCGTCCTCGAAAATGTTACCTGATTCAAACAGTTCTGGATAAGACTCCTTCATCCGACTCTCAAGCTCCCAAGTAACATTTCCACCAGCCGGTCCTCCCCAAGCGACCCTTACTAAAGCAATCTCTTTACCTCGAAGCTGCTTTAATTTCCGATCCTCAATCCGCATAGGTGATGCCTCAACAGTCAGGTTATCTTTCACCTGCACATCATCTATTTGGACTACATGAGACGGATCCGCAATGTATTTTCTCAACTGAGATACATGGAATACGTCATGAAGATTAGCAAGCGACGGTGGTAAAGCCACACGATAGGCCACTTCTCCTATCCTTTGCAAAATCTGATAAGGACCAATGAAACGCGGCGACAACTTGCGCGACTTCAGTGCCCTACCAACACCTGTCATCGGAGTGACTCGAAGAAACACATGATCTCCCTCTTGA